TTGTATATAGTATGAGTAGAAGTTTAAAACCAGATTTTTGTGCAAGTAATGACAACTATCAAGGTTATATGTATATGAGTATAAGGTTAATTGCTCCATCTCATTGTAAAGTGAAAATTTGAGGATAAATTTTCTTAAGGGGGAGATTTGTAACATCCCAAAAAATCGGGTTAGTGACTAAAAATGATTTTCTAAAAAAATTTGGTGATCAATTTAGGAAAAATTGAAAAGTTCAAGGACTCAAATAAGAATATTTTGATATTAGATTAAATAACAAGAATGTAGGATATTATAGTCTTTTCAATTTAAAGGATATTTTCTCCCATTTATTAAGAGATAAACATGTGGGTTATGGGAGAGATATCTGGAAGCTATTTCCTCTTGTCTTCTTATTCTTCTTCTTCCCGTTAGTTTCATTGGAAAGGTGAGTTGGATTATAATGGTTTATTTTTTTGAAATTTTAAGTTGGTTCTTGTTCTTTGGGTATTATATAAGCTTAAGGAAAGCTTATATAAGATCAAAACAACAAGAAGAGAGAATTAGAAAAGGAATTATAATAAGGGTGTAAAAGTGAATTGTTGGTATGATATAGTTTTTGAAGTTTTATTGATGAATTTTACTTGTCATAAGTTGAGATAAGAAGTATCGTGTGTTAGAAATGAAATTAGAACACATTGAAAGTTTAGTAAAATTCTTAATTTTAAGAATTATACAGAAATATTAAAGATGATGAGGTGTTGTAGTGCTAAAAGATGGTTTAAGTATGTATAGTTGAGTTTACAAGCATGAAGAGAGTTAAATAAGTAGAGTTTGGGGAAGAGTGTTGAAATTTTTGGGTTTAAGAAAATATAATGGATTGTTAATATCGATACTGGTTGAGTGAGAATCGATACTACAAGGCAAATTTTGGGATATTTATATGTAGAGTATTGATACTGCATGAACAATATCGATACCATAAGGAATAAGAATGATAGATCTTCATGGTAGTATTGGTACCATGGGTATCGATACCATTGGGGAGGTATCGGTACCATTTCTTGCTATGAAATTTTAGAATAGAAATTGGGTGTCGATACCGGGGAAGGGTATCGATACTACAAGCATAGAAGTATTGGTACTGTGCTTGTAGTACCGATATTACTTAAGTTGGAAATTAGAGATTAGTGGTTTATTTAGTTTATATTGCCAAGAATCTTTTTGAGTATTGCAAACTCCGATATTCATTGGATTGCGTATCCGTGTAGATATCAATCGAAAGCAAAGTCCGAATAGGCCATCAAAGTAAGATTCGAGAGAGAGACAAGATATTGGTAATGTCAAGTGAGACCAATGTGAGTACATTATATTAAGTGTAAGTTATGTTAGGGAATTAAGACTTAAGATGAGTCTAATTTCGATATTAGGTTACATGAGTACTTGAATATAAACATGTAGTGATATGATGTTTAGATGTACTTAAGTACATACATATGTCTAGAGGTTAAGTACATTTCTATATGGAATCTATGTGAATGCATGTAGGTGTGATAAATCATGTGACTAAGAGCTATGTGTGATAATAAGTTATGTTGTCATAAGAGATAAGATATATGACAAAAGATAAGTGAAGGTGATATATGTGATTATATGTCTATATGAATAAAAGAAAATGTGACATGACATATATGTGATATGAAGCTATGAGCTTATATAACTATGTGATATAAATGTGTAAATGTGACAAACATAATGATAATGCCCATGTTATGTGTTATGAAAGCTAGGGGTATAGTTTGTATGCCAAGAGTCAATGGTTTTACGTGGTCATTTGGGATATATATGTAATCCTTTGGAACATATATTCGGTTATTCGGGACAAATATTTGGTTATTTGGAATATATATGTGATCCTTAAAGAGTGGTCATTAGGGACATCTACGTGGTCCTTCGGGACATTTCTACGCGGTTATTCGGGACAACTTTATATGCCCTAATGGAACTTTATATGAGCTATAGTTACATCATATGTGCACAACCTCTATGTACTCACATATCTTTAGTTCTTAGAAGTATACATGGGCTTTAAAGAGAATAAATAAATAAACTTGGTATGGTGTTATGTGTGTTCCTTTGTGAAATGATATATGTGTTTTATGATAATATAGATAATGATAAGCATGTTAATGATGATCTATGCGTTTATATAAGCCTTGTCTTGCATGATATATACATGCATTTGTTAAGTAGTTATAGTTTCTATTATTCTTTTATATATCTCACTAAGTCTATGACTTAGTGTGTGAGTGTTTCACACGTAGGATCCGAGAAGTATCAAAGAGAAGATAGGTAGCGGAGACAACATAACATCATTGAAGATCAGATCATAATAATTTTTATCAGTATGTATCTTTGTTATAATATGTATATATAATGTTGACATATACTTAAAAGATGAAATTGTATAAGCTCTGACCGATTTTTGTAAACTTTTTGAGTTGATATATGTAAATTATTTCGTATGTTTAAATTAATTCTGAATGATGTTAAGTTTAATATAATTAAATGATTTGAAAGGTTGATGTGACATCTCAGACTTGTATTCGGGTCGAATATGGGTTGGAGGTGTTACATGGGGAGCATCGATAACCGATACTTCCTTGAGTACTGACACCAAAATATCATTCTAGAATTTGGGTTTCGATACCAATCACACCGGTCTCGATACCGAAATGAGTATCGACATTGCTCTCATAAATTTCATGATTTTAAGCCTGAACATGAACAATATCAGTATTGGTCCCTCCAATACCAATACTACCACTCAAAAATGTCATATTTGGGCACTCAAACTCTCTCGCATTGCTACCTAGAGGTTCCCAAAGGTGTTTAGAGTCTTATGTCATTGTAAAAGGGCATAAATAAGGCTTTAAAACATGTTTATATCATAAAACATAATTTCTACCATTAACATGCCCATTAAGCTTGTTTCTCAACCTTTATGCCATTTACTATCTCTGGTGACCCACAAACTAGTATGATGGAGTTGTAAGTGTGGTTACCTCAATTTCTTGGCAAATGCAAAGCCCAACGCACTTAATGGGAGCTTTTTTTTTTTGGCCTTTGAGCTTTCACCAACTTCTTTAACTATTTAAGAGTAAGAAAAAAATATTCTAAGTAAACTAAGTGATGAATTACGGATGATAATACTCTTAGAACTTGAATCTATCAATAACAACTTAAAATCTGAAATTTCCCTCAAACCTCCCAAAATCCTTTATTGGAAACTCAATCTAAAACTTGCAATATATAGCTTAATTTAAAGCTTGAAAAATGGTGATTCACACTCTTACCTTGGCTCAAACAAACTAGAATTGGAATGCTTAAATCTCTACTTGAGAAATGAAGAAGAAGAGAAAAAAATGGAAGAAATAATAAGAAGAGTTTGGTGAGATATTTTGGGGGTTAGTATACGTGATTTGATATATAAATAAGGGGGAGTTTTCAGCTTAAACAAAAATGGGTAAACTATAGTTTAGGTGCTTACACTTTCAAGCTCATAAAAATATCATCACCTCTTATAATCTTTTAGGGCCCAACTCAGCTGAATCCCAAATAAACCTGGTCCAAACTATTTTAATAAATATTTTAGGCTCTAAAATATATCTCGGGTTAACCCAAACTACTAACCTGGGTTTTGTGGCGTTACAACAAATCTCTATCTTAACCTCTCACTCTCTCTTAAATACCAAAACCTGAAAGAGAGGGGTTACCTTTAATGCTTTGAGGATCCCAATGACTCTGACGAAGCAAGGGCGTTTGAAATGTGAGGTAAAGTTTTCTCTTTCTCTTTTTTCTAAAGTTTTTCTTTTTTTCCTCCATATATTGCTTTCCCACTTTTATTTAGTTGTTGAACCCCCTTTTAAATATGATTTTCCTTTAATTTTTATGATTCTCATATGTTTGGTGGTGGTAGTGGAGTTGATGAAATAGTTCGGTAGGTGAGGTTGGCAGCGAAAAATCGAGGATTTGATTTATTTTTTTATATGAGTTTTGGTATTGATTTGATTTCCCCATTGTTTGACCTAATTTTTTCACTATTAGCCTTTGATTCGGTCAGATTTACTGACGGCGGCAGCTCGGGAGTCATCAGCACAGTCCGACTCATTTAACGACATCGATAAGGCTTGGTGTGAGCTGCAACAGCGTGAGGAGGTTCACCGTAGGTGGTAGTGACATTTGGTTTGATAGCGTAAAACCTTAATCTGCACTGCATCTGGGCCATTGATCTTAGACAAATCTAACGAATGAGATCGAGTGGCTTGAGGGTTTAACATGAACCCCTGAATGTTCTTGAATCAACACACATGGGTTGTTACTATTGGGCTTGCGTTTAATTTTGTATTTGGGCCTTAATTTGAGTTTTTGTAACCTAAAAAAGAATAAAAGAATAAATAATAAACATATACATCTATAATATTTAATTTAAAAAATAAGGGAAAAATTGGTGTCAATAGTTGTCACTTTTTGCCCATTCTTGTATTAACAAGAATAGGACAAAGACAAAAAATAATTAGTTTTTTATTCGAATTCATCTTTTGTTTTGAAATTTGATATTGTCTCAAGTGTGACTGAAAATGATCATTATCTCAAGAGAGATTTTTGAAATCAAATATGAAAAAAATGATATGCTCCGTTGCTCTTCAGGATAAATCATATATGGAAACATTGATTCCCTTCATTACTTTTCAGAGAAGATTAAATTAGAATTAATTTGCTTCACTACTCTTGAGAAGTACTCTTGAGAAAAGACTAAATCTGAAAAAAAGGATCTATTTTTTTTATAAAATTGTAGAAAATCGTAGTTAATACATTGAATAAATAAATTACTACAACAAAGAAGCGTACAGAAAACACAAATTAAAAACGACGCACAGTTACAAAATCCTAATGTCTGATTATTAAAGCAAAAATCTTTTCTGTATAAGTAAACGCTGCCGTTATAAGCACCGAAAACCCTAGTTCGCTCCCCTCGTATTTATTTATATATTTTCATTTCTTATGAGCGTATCACCTCACCAAAACCCTAGCTCACTTCATTGTCCGCCACTGATTACAACCAGTGAGCTCCTTTCTCTTTCAATTATTATCCTTTTCTCGCTATCTTCTTTGTTTCTCCTCTGATATCGTTTTTTTTTTAATTTTATTCTTTAAAGAATTGAATAGGTTTTTGATAAGCTGCCAAAACGATGTCGGACGACGAGAGGGAGGAGAAGGAGCTGGATCTTTCCTCATCTGAGGTTGTTACCAAATACAAGAGCGCTGCTGAGATCGTTAACAGTTAATCTCTATTCTCTCTCTCTCTCTCTTTAAATTTTCATTATTTAGCTTATTGGAAATGGATTTTGAGTTTAATATTTGTTTGGGTGGTTTCTGTATTTTTTTTGGCGCTATGTTTGAAAATTTGCAGAGGCGTTGCAATTAGTTGTAAAAGAATGCAAGCCGAAAGCTAGGATTGTTGATATTTGTGAAAAGGGTGATGCATTTATCAGAGAGTAAGCGCTTTAGTTTATGCTGGTTGTGCGTGTGCGTGTGCGCGCTTTATAGAGTTGAGTATCGATAATGAAATTAGTAATATGTTGTTTATGTAATGTAAAGACAAACAGGCTACATGTACAAGAATGCTAAGAAGAAGATTGAGAGGGGTGTTGCTTTCCCTACTTGCCTCTCAGTGAACAACACTGTCTGTCATTTCTCTCCACTTGCTAGTGACACCTCGGAGTTGGAAGAAGGAGATATGGTGAAGATGTAAGCTTCATATATACCATTTCCTTTTCTTATTGTTTTGGTTGGGATTTCATACTTTGATTGGCAAGTAAAATGTTCTTTTTCCTGTATGTAGTGATATGGGTTGCCACATTGATGGGTTTATAGCTGTAGTTGCACACACTCATATTGTTAAGGATGGGCCAGTCACTGGCAGGCATGCCGATGTTATTGCTGCTGCAAATACTGCTGCCGAAGTTGCCTTGAGACTGGTCAGGCCAGGAAAGAAGGTAGCCTTTTGTATATCAATGCTACGATGTTCACAGACAATGTTATCCTTTGTGTTCTTTGAATGTTTCTTCTGCTGTTTTGCTTTTGCTATTTCAAAAGTTTTGAGCCAAGCTTTTGTTTTTCAAGTGGAATTTGTGGTTGCTTTTTGAAAGTGTAATGACTTAGCTTTAAATTTTGACTCAGTTGACCCCTAAATGATGAATTTGTTTTTGTTTGCTATGGATCTACATCCGAATGAAGCTTTTTGTCATAGTTACTCTGATAGGGGAATTGATATCTCAACTCTGTTTTTGCGACAACTTTTCTTGTGGTTACTCTATGTTTTAGTTTTTTCTTCAAAGTGATTGTATGATGTAGAATAAAATATGACAGCTAGGCAACTTTGCCGAGGTGATTAATTTCTTGTCGATCTCCTCTTTTCCCTGTTGCCAATATCATGATTGGTTGAGCTAGGTGACCTTAGGGCCAGTGATGCCATATATATGGTTTACACCAATTGCCTAAGTGAACCAACATTTTCTCTAAAATCTACCATAAGTTGGCGTCACCTTCATGATTTGTTTTTATCAAACTACCTTAAAGTTGGTGTTACCCTTGTGTAAGATGCAGAATAGTCATTTGTTGGAGAGGCAACTTTGCTGAGGTGATAATTGTCTTGCGATATCCTCTTTTCCCTGTTTCCAATATTTTTATGTGGTCATGCTAGTCTGTGTTAGGGCGATACATCTTTTTTTTTCATCATACCAATTGCCCAAGTGGACTAACATGTTCTTTAAAACTACTACAAATGGGTGTTATGCTCATGATTGTTTTATCACCATTGCAGAGCTCTTGTTTTTAAACACAAAAGTGGTTTTAATTACTGTGGCAGCAGCTTGCTGATGTAAACTTTTGCTTTTTCCCCTAATTTGTTGGTTGGGGAGGTGTGGTTCAAAGTTTCACATGATTTCTACATCATGATGATAATCATGGGCTATGGATTTAATTCCAATGTTGCTTCTTTTTGTCATAGTTACACTGATAGAGTATCATTTATGCTTTGTGCCACACTCTATACAATCCAAGTCAACCACCCAAATTGCCTGCTGCAGTTGAAGGTCAACTCATATGAGTTCAATCTTTTTCTTTTTTTGTACTTTTCAAATATGTGTGTGTGTGTATCTCATACTTCTAAAAGCCATGGACAAAATATCAAGTGGGCATTTGTGATGTTTACTGATTGGAAGGGGAAATATTTCTTATGTTTCTGCTTTTTATGGACCTTTTTTCTGATGAATTCAGTACTACTTTCCTTTGTAATATATTTTTTAAAATCTGCATTATCACTTGTATAATTTATATTCTTCCTTGTACTCAATTTCTTTTAATTATGGTTTTAATGGCAGAATAAAGATGTAACTGATGCAATTCAGAAGGTAGCTGCAGCTTATGACTGCAAAATTGTTGAAGGTGTTCTTAGTCATCAATTGAAGCAGTTTGTGATAGATGGAAACAAAGTTGTATTAAGTGTCTCCAATTCAGATACAAGAGTTGATGATGCAGAATTCGAGGAAAATGAAGTTTATGCTGTCGATATAGTTGCAAGCACTGGTGAAGGCAAGGTATTTATCGTCTTTCCTTGACTTTTAGCTTTTCTAGGAATCTATTCTTGTGCGATGTTACTTATCCTTGAGATTTCCATTTGTTTAAATGGCAGCCGAAGCTGCTGGATGAGAAACAGACAACTATTTATAAGAGAGCTGTTGACAAGAATTATCATTTAAAGATGAAGACCTCTAGATTTATTTTCAGTGAGATAAATCAGAAATTTCCCATCCTTCCATTCACTGCTCGGTCTGTGATTGTTTTGCCTTTTTTATGAATGTGCATTGGCATTATTTCTGATGTTTATTAACCAGTTTATGCTGATTTTCTTGAAACAGGGCTCTGGAAGAGAAAAGAGCTCGACTAGGTTTAGTTGAATGTGTGAATCATGATCTCTTGCAGCCATATCCGGTTCTTCATGAGAAGCCTGGTATGTTTTTGTAGTGAATAGCTTGTTTAATGATCGGAGGACTTAGGATATTGTACCCCTGTTAATGCCACCATAAGTGAAAATGAGATTAATTCGATCACCGTGTTCAACTGTGCAGGTGATAACGTTGCTCATATCAAGTTCACCGTGTTGCTAATGCCTAATGGATCAGATCGGATAACATCCCATCCTCTGCAGGAGCTGCAACCAACCAAGACGATAGATGATCCTGAAATCAAGGCATGGCTAGCTTTGGGTACAAAGACGAAGAAAAAAGGTGGAGGGAAGAAAAAGAAAGGTACGATGAATAATAACATGGTTTATGAATGATTTGCCATAACAAATACCTTTGATGTGTCGGAATCAAATGTTTACCAAGGTTCGTATATGTATTACTACAGGTAAGAAAGGCGATAAAGCCGATGAATCGACTGAGGCAGAAGCTGGAGCTGAGCCTATGGATGCAACAAATGGAGGATCACGATGTCAAGAATCGTAGTAATGTTCTGTTCTCTCCCTCTGTTTTCAATTTTGGTACAATGTTCATTTGTATGATGTGGTTGGTTATCGAGTTAAAACTTACCATAATATAATTATGGCACAATTATCCCAGCGGGGTTCTCACGAGTCATGCGTCTTATCCAACTGATTTGAGCCAAGTTAGCTATTGATCTAACGGTGAATAACTCACGCTGCTAAAGTTTTTATTGATATCGATACACATTCAATATAATCCTCCAACTTCTGAAAAAGATCAATATAATCCTTTAAATATATTTTACATTCAATGTAAAATTTTAGGGGGGGAAATCAATTTAACTCTTTAATCAACGGAAAGCAATGTTGATGCTAAAATAAAGACATGATCCTCTATAAAAGTTTTACTTTTTTTTTAAAAAAAGAAAGAAAGCAAAACTGTCGAATAAGATTAAAACAGTTAAACCTTTTAAAACTGTCAAATAAGGGTAGTTTAATTGGAGAGGAGTTGTCAACTTCAGGTGTCAATTTGTACGATAAGCACAAGAATTCAACGCAAATGAGGGTCTTCGACTTCGAGACTCGAGCTTGGGTATTTAAGAAGATTAGATCTTACCCAATAGTTTTTTGAGTCTTTGGTAAAATAAAAAGGACCTCAGTTGATGAAAAAAATGTATTTCAGGGTTTGCCTATGGCATCTTCAGTGCCTGCTTCAGTTGGGCAAAAGCTGCAGGATGCATACTACCCATGGCTGAATTAAATGACTCCCCATGAATGGCAGCAAATGTTTGAAGATTTTCTCGCACCAAGTTTTCCAATGACAATTGGGTGATAGGATCTGAGAGCTTGATCTGAATGATGGGAAAACCAATCCATCGTAAATAATTACTAAAGAGATACGTTAGCAAATGATTTAACTAAAGAAAGTTAATCTGTCTTCTCCTTAACTCCTTACTGGGAAGTGAACCTTCACCGTGCATCCTGCTGGAGTTCACAGTATCGCCACTGCAATTTATTAGCAAAAATTAAGAATGAAAATGGTTATGAATCTCCGATGTAAATCTCCACTAAACAGAGTTTACAATACAAAGGCATTTAGTGTATAACCTTGACACTTCCTCAGTTAAGTCATCAGTCCCTCCCAAAATTACACTGGTGCAGACACTGCATAAAGTTTATTTTTGCAGAAATGAATAAAAATGTTATCTGATACTCAGTTGCAGATGTATGACAAAATCAAAATTGAATTTGTACCTTAACATCTGATCAAGTTTGTCCAGAATTTGAGGCAGCCTTAATGTCAAAGCTATGGAAAGTGCTAGGCCAAATATTTTCTTCTGGGTGAAGATACATTGTCTACCTGTATAAACACTAAAAGATAATGATAAAGTAAAAAATAAATAACTTGAAGAAACCTGCCAGACCAACTCAAGTTACCAAATTCAGAATCCTAATTATAAAAATTAGTGCTTTCTTTTATTTTTTCGATTCTTCCTGAGATGAGACATGGATGCGAACAGCTAAGAACACTAACCAACTGACCATCATTGTCTTTGTAGAGATGCATTTTCTACTAACCTTGTCGAGCCATATGTCAACCAGACAAAGAAGAATATTATCTTCAATAGCTACACCAGTCTGCCGCAGTAGTGAAGAAAGAGAAGGTTCTGATGTTAGTTGTGCAAGATAGTTGGTATTCATCACCAAAATCCTTGCTCAGATGGCAGCTGCGGATGCCTTAACAGCTGTCTTTGAAGGATTGCCATCGTCTCCTCCACTCAAGCAAATAACAACTAATTTCTGCCAATGTTTAACAAGGCAGAGCAAGAATTAGATGTCGAAAATGCCTATAGCACAGCAAATATAATTGTGAACATGAATGGTAAAAAAAGCGATGGGTAAAGAACCATGCTTACTTGTAAAGTACTGCTGAATCGCTGATTAATGGAAGCACTTCCATAGGGTAGCACTACAAAATAGCAAAAAGATGAACAGTTACAACTGATTGAGTTTCTCAGGTCCAATTCAGTTTTAATGATTTCAAACCTCCATGCTCATCGGTGAACAATTCTATCATCCGATCAAAGAATTCATTTGCTCTTTTTAGCAATTCAAGGAAGTAACACAAAGATGCAAAGCCCAGTAGTAAATACTCGTTTCATAGACACAAACCAAACCACCCCAACTTCTCATGTTATTTTTTTTGAAAGGTAACTTCGCATGTTATTATTCGACCAAATATGTTCTTGACTACAGCTGTTACGAGTATACTTGAGTAAGACTCCTTTTTTTCCAGAATCCTCCACTATGATTACATCATATATGTCGAAAATGTTCTCTTAAAGCAAAACTGATAAAGAAACAAGTGGGATTCTTTTTAAAATATGAACGTATGAGCATGCATCTGCTGGTAAAATGTCCATCGTCTGTAACAATAGAGTCTAGATGGAAGGTGTTTAACATCAAAGGTTTCGCATTATGGGATGTAATAGTTTGTAGGCATGACAGGAAGTAGGACAGTCGAAACTTGATATTCCCAAGATAGTATACAAGACAACCTTGTATAAGAAAACAAAGGCTGCAAGCATACATACACAAAGGTACGCTTGTGGTCATGTTTGTATTCATTATTAAAAAAATTTCCATGGATATCATGTGGGGGGTGGGGGTCAATATTACACAAACAAACTGCTACTGGCTTCTTGAAAATTCAGCATATGTTATGTGATGCTAGTGCCTTGAAAATTTACAATATGATACCTGTATCAGAATGTCAATGACAGGAAGAGTTGAATGCAACCCTCTATCATTGGCATTTCCAACAATGAGATCTAGAAGTTTAGCCACGCTGGAAGCATGCATGCTAAGAAATTCTCTTCCACCCAAAATGATATAACCTTCAGTATTGTCAACAGCAACCTACAAGCATATTCAGATCAATATAAGATCGAGAGAGAGATCAATGAGTGGATGAGAAGCAGACAATGAATTGTGACAATGTAGAAGCCCAAAGCACCAAATGTGACAGTAGACAATCCAAAGGGGAATGAAAGTTCTTACCTAACAAGGACAAATGATTTAAGAAGTCTAACCTGTAACTGGTCAAAATTTCTTTCCAATATTTCCACAAGACATGGGAAATATGCTAAGAGCTGAGACACCATTGCAGGTGCATGAGAAAGTGTAGCCTCCCACAACTGCAGAGATGAGAACATGAAGCATAAGTTTACGGTAAATGCAGCCAGATATATAATCAATGTTTGGGGCAGTAGTCTAACCAGCAGCATGCTATCCTCCAGAAGATTGAGTTCATCTGGGCCATTTATGTCAATTCCCTTTTGAAGAATGGGCAGGAGCATTGCATGGCAACTAGGTGATTGATATCCAAGTGCAACAACAAAGTTCCGCAAAGCAATAAGAAGCTGAATCTGTAGAAGGCTTTCACCAGAAGATTCCTCCCAAACCTTTTCATATTGCAAGGCTAAAGCAAATTAAAAGAAAATATATTTTAAAAGAGAACCTGATATTGATAAGTAGTCTTTAGCATGTGTAGTCAAGTTAAATAATCCATTTACTCTCAAACTTTTCTTGGGATTCCAATTATAATTTATTTTTCAAACAACTACTATTAACCATGAATGACAGGAAGATTTGTACCAAGTTTCACAACAGCAATTTGTAACATTGGCAATTATCTGATTTAGTATAGAGGTTCCCTGTTATAAACTCCTAGTACTTATATTGTCAACAACAGAGCATATGAAACTTTCAGAGAAGGAAGTAAAGTAGTGGCAACAATACCGTCTGGAAAAACTGCACCAAGTTGTTAGCATATGGGATTACTTCATTGACATGACCCAGAAGAACAGAAATCAAATTTAAAACCTGGACCTGAAATTTATGTGAAAGCAGTAAAATGAATAAAATGTGAATCAAATGTCAGCATAAACAGTTGCATATACAAGTGCATGCACACTTGGAAACACAAACAAAGACTCAGAATTAAATCTAGAAGGACTCCCAATACCAGAATTTGCATCTCATATCTGAGAACCTATATTTCCTAAACAAATCATGACAAATATGATCTAAAGTAGGAACAGCCAAAGCACATCAGTACAAAAAGGTTATCCACACCTATTCAAAATTATCATCAGATGCCAAACATGCAAGAAAGAAATATTAAAGCTCCGAGCATAGATTCCAGAAATTTTCCACAATCCAGTTAGATATATAAACTTCCTTTTTGATAAGAACGAAAGGAAAAAGAATGCCCAAGCAGGTAGTGAACACTGTAGACACCAATTTTCGTCCATATATATATATCACATATATATATATTACTTAAATAATACATTTTTTTTCTTTTATAGATTCCAGGCCCAAAGACTAAATACCAACAAGTCCCAGCAGCCCGTTACACCCCAAAGCAAACCCGAACCTAGAGCCCCGACCCGGATCCAAGCTTCAGCCTGAACCAATAAGCTAGGGTTTCCAGAATCCTAGCCTTGTCTCCAGCAGAGTCGCCAAGCCGTCGAAGCTCAATTCCGAGCCCAAATATGAAAAAAGTTTTTTTTTAAATTAAATATACAATCAAGTTTAATGAGAAAAAAATAATGAAAAAAATAAATTTTCAAAGAAATAAATAAAATAAAAAGAGTAAAAACTGTGAAATTTCAAAAAAAAAAGAGAAAAAAAGAAATGAAATTGTTAAGAAAAAATACTTTTATATTCAAAAAGGAAAAAATAAAGGTCAAAAATTTGAAAAAGTAAATAGTTGAAAAAAAGTTGAAAAAGATAAAAAAAAGTTGAAAATGCGTTTAGAAATAAATAAATAAATAAATAATAATGTTAAATTGAATAAATAATAGAAAAAATACATATATATAATAATAATAAAAAGAAAAAGAAAAAAGATAATATATATTAGATAAAAACAAAATTTTTTTATTAAAAAATAGATAAATAAAATATATAAAATCAATGAAAAAAACATAACAATAAAATAATAATAATAAACAAACAAACAAACAAAAAATAAAAAAGCAAAAAATAAAATAAAAATAATAAAAAAAGAATGAAGAAAATAAAATAATAAAAATATAATATATAACAATAAATGACTAAATTAAAATAAAAGAAAAATAAGGGGGTCAAATTTGAAAGAAAATCGAGGTTGAAATTGCATATTAGGGGCAAAATTAAATCTTTAAAAAACTATGAGGGACTAAATGGGAATTAACCCTATTTTATTTGAACACACGCAAGGGATTCGCTCGGGTCGGCCGGGTTAGTCCTGCAGGTCAGTATAAAGCACAAAAAAGACAGAGCCCCTTCTCTCATTTCTCATTTTTCAAAACTCAAAACCCTTTTCCTCTCAACTTTCTCTCAAGTGTTCATCCAAAGGATGAAATACCACCGTGATTTCTAGAAATCGGTGGCCACCGCCTCGCCAGCCGTTGTTCATCGACGGTGGCCCACAAAAAAAATAATTTTTTCGATATCTCTTTTTCCCCTCTTTAAAAATCCAAACAATTTTTTGAGAATCTATTCGGAGAAGACTAGATCTAAGAAAGGATTTTCGAAAACTTACCCCCTTTTATCGTTTTTTTCATTCGAACCAAAAAAGCATAGAGACCACATGCAAGCGAGATGAGCTACCAAACAAGGTAAAATCGCACCTTTTATTTCGAATGTGTTTCGAAATTTTTGCAAATGTTCTTGCTTCGATCCCTTAGAATTTTTTGTGTATTTTCTCGTATTTTCCCCTCGTTATTTCGCATGTAATCGTGTGATCTTTCAAATGTAAATATTACATTTATTTATAGGAAAAAACTATGCTAATTTTAGACTCCTATTTGTGCTAAAACTTCTTTGCTCCCGGTTTGTTAAGAGTCCCATGTGACTAATTTGTTTTTTGTTGACTTGGTGGTGTTGTTGCCGAGGAAACCGTCGGGAAAACTGGCGCCTGTGGACCGAGCGGCTGGGGTGAGGGCTCTTCGAAGGTTGCGATGTTGTGGAGACAAGGTTAGGGTTCTGGAAACCCTAGCTTACTGGTTAGGGCTGAATCTTAGATCCGGGTCGGGGCTCCAGGTTCGGGTTTGCTTTGGGGTGTAACGGGCTGCTGGGACTTGTTGGTATTTAGTCTTTGGGCCTAGAATCTGTAAAAGAAAAAAATGTATTATTTAAGTAATATATATGGACGAAAATTGGTGTCTATTTCGGGTGGACTCAGAATTGGGCTTCGACTAGAAATGAGTGGGTTAGAGTCGCCACCGATCCTTTTAAAGAATATTTGGACTGATTGGACACCATCTTACATGATCTGTGTTTTACCATAAATGTGTCGGGCTCAAGAGTCGGTTACAGTCAAGGAAAGATTAATACTCTTGAACCGCCCTTTCGGTACCAATTAATTTGTTGATTATCTTTAATTGCAAAAAATTAAAATTTAACTTTAAAAAACTCGATTCAAATTACTTACATTTGATTGGTTGAAATTCTTTTAAAAATGGTCAAAAAGAATGTTAGATCACAAAAATAAAAATAAATAAATAAATATGAACAAAAAGTTTTTTTTTAAAAATTAAATATACAATCAAGTTTAAAGAGAAAAAAATAATAATAAAGAAACAATGAATAAAATAAATTTTTTAAAAAATAAAAAATAATAAAAATAATAAAAAGAGTAAAAAAATGTTAAATAAAATAAATAAATAATCAAATTTTATATTTAAAAAGGAAAAAATAAAGGTCAAAAAGTTTGAAAAATTATATAGTTGAAAAAGGAAAAGGTTGAAAAAGTTGAAAAAAAGGGAAAAAGTGGAAAAGTTGAAAAAAGTTGAGAAATAAATAAATAAATAATAATGTTTAATTGAATAAATAAGAGAAAAAATGCATACATATATAATAATAATAAAAAGAAAAAGAAAAAGAAAAAAGAAAAAAGAAAAAAAGAAAAAGAAAAAAATATAATAATATATATATAAATATATTAGATAAAAACAAAAAAAATATTAAAAAATAGATAAATTAAATATATAAAATTAATGAAAAATACATAAAAATAATAAATAATAATAAAAATAATAATAAAGAAACAAAAAACAAAAAATAGTAAAAAATAAAATAAAAATAATAAAAAAAGAATGAAGAAAATAAAATAATAAAAATATAATATATAACAATAAAGGACTAAATTAAAATAAAAGAAAAATAAGGGGTAAATTTTAAAAGAAAATCAAGGTTGAAATTGCATATTAGGGGCGAAATTAAATCTTTAAAAAACTATGAGGGACCAAATGGAAATTAACCCTATTTTATTTGAAAACACGCCGCTCGGATCATCGGGTCGGTCGGGTTGGTCCTGCAAGTCAATATAAAGCCCAAAAAAGACCAAGCCCCTTCTCTCATTTCTCATTTTTCAAAACTCAAAACCTTTTTCGTCTCAACTTTCCCTCAAGTGTTCATCCAAAGGATGAACTATCGCCGTGATTTCCATAAATCGGTGGTCACCGCCTCACCGACAGTCGATCGTCGCTCATCGACGGTGGTCCACCAAAAAAATAGTTTTTCGATAGCTCTTCTTCCCCAGATTCCTCATTTCTTGATATAAAAATCAATCATCCAATGCCCCGGATTGGAGCATATTCCTAGTGGCACTTATCCAAACTCTTCCATTGATTTATGTACTCTATATTCTAGTGTTCCAACAAATGGAACGGATCAAGTGCCAAAAGATTTTAGAGTTACGGATCAAATAATAATAATTATTTATTATTTTGATAATCAAATAATTTTTCCTATAAATTTAACCACTAATGTTAATTTTTTACGATCAATGATTAAAAATTAACATAAATAATAACATTATCTAATATAATAATAATTTTTATCCTCAAAATTTATTATCACAATATAGTTTTATAGACTATTTTATCTTAGTTCTTATGTCATTTAGGATTATCTTCACCTAGAGTAACTCACCTACTCTTAATGCCATCAATATAAATTCTAATTCAACACTTGATTTTGTAACCACAATTTTTTTGAATGAATGAAAGAACTTTACACTCTCTCCTATTTTGCTCACTGAATTCTATTCTCTCTCTCCCTCCCTCTTATTTTGTTCGCTGAACTTTAAAAGTTTTTAACTTATTCGGTGAACTTAATACATTGAGTTTTTTGGTCGCTGAACTTTACTCTCTCTCCTATTTTTGTCACTTCATTGTTAAATAATTAACAACGTTAAAAGCAATGCCATTTTTTAAAAAAAATATCACTAAAACAACGTCGTTTTTCATTTATATAACAACTAATTTTTACACCTTTAATTATTTATTGGCTGAGTGACCAAAACAACCCAATGTATTAAGTTCGATGAGGAACTTGAAAATATTTAAAGTAAAGTGAGTGAAATAGGAGATATAATAAAGTTTAGTTACCAAAATTGTAATTTTCTTTTTTTTAAAATAATAGGTACGTAATTTTTTTAAATTTTTTCTTTTTTTTCTTAACACATTAAATTAAATTTATCCATATTTTCAAAATAACGAGGACGCACTTAACTCTCACTTAGTGCAAGGATTTGTTTTATGTTTAAACAAATTCCTTTTATTTTTAATTCTTTTCGGCAAATGTAGAATCAAATAAGTGTCACGAGATCAGCGGGTATTTCATTTCTCACATGTAGATAATTTGGGTATATATCTAGGCGTTCCGCTCATTCATAGACGGGTAAAACACGGAACTTGTGATTACCTTGTGCAGAAAGTGCGAGATCGCTTAGCGGGTTGGAAAGCAAAAATTTTAATCTTTGCAGGACGTCTGACAGACTCACTTAATCTATCGTAATAAAATCCAAGATTTGGCGACCAGATCTATATGACACGGTGACC